TCATATATATATATATATATATATATATACATATTTGTTCCATTTTTATTTTTTATTGAATCTCACAATGAAATTATCTGTTCTGTGTACTTTACTATGTTTTATGTTATTCATTTTTTCGTAGTTGCTGTTAATGTACTTGGAAATGTTTGTGATGGGTCATATTAATGCAGCTGTACTTTATCTTTGCCTTTTATGGTGTACTTTTGCTCGACGAAGGTAAATTTTTTGTTTGTGTTGTGTGTGCATGTGTGTGTGTGATGTTTTTGTGTTATTCTCTGTGTTTTTGTTGTTTACATAGTGATTATATTTTACTTCAAGTTTGTGATTTTTTGTGGTATACTGTGTTGTTGTCGACACATTATATTTTATTTCAACGTTTGCCTTGGCCACTCACCCGGATTGTGATTGTGAGTGTGTTTTTTATGTGGTGATAGATTAGTGTCTATATGGCCCAACAAGAATGCCCTTCTTATTCTTTTTGTTATGTTATGGGTTTTTGTTATATTATGGGTTTTGATTTTAGCTGGTTGCAGAGATTGGTACAACACCAACCTACCCAGTATCCGACATCAGAGGAACTAAGCATTGGAAAAATTAAGTTCAAAGCATTTGATTTGGGGGGTCATCAGATCGCCAGGAGAGTGTGGAAAGATTACTACGCAAAAGTGAGTGTCTTGATTGACCTTAGATATATTTGTGCCTATAGCTTTGTGTAATGCATTATTTGGTACTTTAGTTATTTGGTACTTTAGTTTTAGTACTTTAGTTATTTGGTACTTTAGTTGTGCTTTAGTTGTCTGGATATTTGCCTTGAGTTCAATCTATTAGCAAACTCTATCTGGATAGAGTTCAATCTATTAGCAAAGGCTATTCAGTTGGTGTATCTTGATGGCTGGTGAGGTTGTTCCTCATATTTTGGCATTTCCATTTGGGCTTTAGGATGCTTAATCATTAGCATGCTAATTTTACACAATTTTTAATTTTTATTCTTCTGCACCATCAGAGATCTTTTGATCGAGTCTGATATGTGCACTATTAGCTTGCCATTTATTTTATGGTGACTTAAAAGCATTTGACGAGATTGATAGCTGGTTTGTATGGCTTTCCAATATGACAGATCTTTGTTACGGTGTTTCCTATTACATTGTTTTAGATAGATAACATCAAATATGCTACGAATAGAACTTCTGATTTTAATAGATTTTAGTGTGTTCGCTTTCAAGGACAAGGTAGTAGGAGAGTAGCTAAAGATTATTGATATTTGATAATTAGTTTGTTCTTTGAAAAAGGTCGCCCATTCATAATTTTTTGAGGGTCTATTAAACAGTTTAAAAAAATCTTATGCTTGAGCTTTATTAACATTGAAAATGCTTCCTATGTAAGGTGGTAATTATTTCCCTTATGTAATCGTTCATGGGTACACGTCTCGTAGGGGACATTCCATGATGCACATCCTGGGTAAGTATTCTGGGTTGGGTTTAATCATGGCTACATGATGTGATGCTGCCTGTCAATGCTAAATATTTACAGTGCTGCAATTAACATGCCTGGTTTCCCAGAGTATGTTCTTATGCAGCTGTCATTCTTACTGTAATCAATGTGTCTTTATGAAAACGGCTTAATAAAGCTGTTTTGCAATTTTCTTTGTCAGACTTGGGTAGATGAAACTGTTACTATACTGTTGTCTAATTGACCACAATAGCAGCTATAGCTGATGCACACAACATTTAATTGGATGTCTTATTCAAATGTGATCCCGTTTGAAAGATCTATCTTAGTAATGGATTTAGGGTCTGAAACATGTCCTAAGACACATTAGATGCATTTCCCATTTAGATTGATTTTTCTGCTCGAACAAATAGAAGTGCTGATCTGATGATCGGTGAAAAGTTAAAAAATTAAAATGAACGGTTCAAAAGGGAAGTTTAAAATATCTTGGTTGTTGAGACTATTGACTTCTATAAATATAGATTCAAAATCCATCTCTAAGATTTATCTTTGAAGGGCATCGTGTTTGGATAGGTGCATTGGTTGACACACCAAAACTGCGTGTGTGTGTTTGTGCTCACGCATCAAAACCCTAATGTACGTGCGTGCATGTGTGTCTGCGTGCATCTACATGTTGCTAAGAAAAATCTGTAAAATTAATTCTAATGGTGGTGGCATGTGGCTTAAAATGATTGTGATTGAAAATTGGGTGGTCCTCTGCATTAAAGACTGATTTCATTTGTGGTTGGATTGCTGCCCATGGTGGAGTTTTTTCAGGCGCAGAGATATCTTGGTTTGGTGTGTGCTCATCTGGTTGTATCAAAGCCGCCCATGGTGGAGCTTTTTCAGGAGCAGAGATGTCTATCAAAGCACATATTCACTCATATGAATCATGTGGAATTTTGAATGTGGACTTTATTAGTGTTGTAGATAATATAACAGTTAGGCTTATTTGATGTGTTCCAACTTTACATTGTGCTGTATAGGCTGATATGTTTTTCTTCCTCATAAATGACATTCATTCATTGAAGCTAAGAAGCATCCATGAGTTATCTTGGAATGATGACAAACCATGACATGTACATTAGAAGGCTGACATCTTTTGCTTCCTCATAATTAACTACATTGTGCTGTGTAGGCTGGTATGCTTTTCTTCCTCATAAATCACTTTCATTCATTGAAGCTAAGAAGCATCCGAATGATGACAAACCATGACATGTACATTAGAAGGCTGACATCTTTTGCTTCCTTATAATTAACTACTAAGAAGCATGCACATTAACTACTTCCATTATTTGAAACTAAGAAGCATAAGCATGCACATTAACTACTTCCTTTATTTGAAACTCTAAGAAGCATTCACATTAACTACTTCCATTATTTGAAACTAAGAAGCATGCACATTAACTACTTCCATTATTTGAAACTAAGAAGCATGCACATTAACTACTTCCATTATTTGAAATTAATCCAGTATTTGAAACTAAGAAGCATGTTCTTTAACTACTTCCATTATTTGAACCTAAGAAGCATGCACATTAACTACTTTACTTCCATTATTTGAAACTAAGAAGCATGCACATTAACTACTTCCATTATTTGAAACTAAGAAGCATGCACATTAACTACTTTACTTCCATTATTTGAAACTAAGAAGCATGCACATTAACTACTTCCATTATTTGAAACTAAGAAGCATGCACATTAACTACTTCCATTATTTGAAACTAAGAAGCGTGCACATTAACTACTTCCATTATTTGAAACTAAGAAGCATGCACATTAACTACTTCCATTATTTGAAATTAAGAAGCATGCACCAAGATTTGCTCTTGAATGCTGGCAAACCAGGGCAGGCATATACATTGGATGCTAGATGAGAATCTAGAAAGGGAACTGAATGCTGGCAAACCAGGGCGGGCATATACATTGGATGCTAGATGAGAATCTAGAAAGGGAACTGAATGCTGGCAAACCAGGGCCGGCATATACATTGGATGCTAGATGAGAATCTAGAAAGGCAACCGAATGCTGGCAAACCAGGGCGGGCATATACATTGGATGCATATATAGATATATAGGTGATACTTGATCATAGAAGGTTATCACTTTGGTAGATCCCTAGAGGTTCGGCAACATAATTGTCAATGAATGTTTTATCTCCAAAGTATACTGGCAATTGGTAGTTGGGTAGGGCAATAAGCATGGGTTTGGAATCTCCAAAGTATACTGGCCATTGGTAGTTGGGGCAATAAGCATGGGTTTGGATTAAGATCTAAGCATGCGCGATGGGAGAGGATTTGGCTTATTTTTTGAGGGGGCTTCAAAGAGATGATGAGCCACTTATCTTACCTATTGTATCTCCTTTGGCTGTACTGAGGATGTTTGGTTGGAGTTGTAAGTGGAAATTAAATTCTCTGTTTTCTTTTTCTTGAAGTGCATGTCCTCAAATTCCAGTGTCAATGGGTCATGTCATGTAATGATTGCCAAGCTCCAGTGTCAATGGGTCAAGTCATGTAATGATTGCCAAGCTCCAGTGTCAATGGGTCATGTCATGTCATGATTACCAAATATTCTTGGTTATTTGTATCCTGATCTTCCCCTTTATGGGTTACAGTGGGCCTGAGGTTTTTGGGTCTATCTGCAATCTGATCTTCCTTCATTGCCTTACTTTGTTTGAATGTATCTATTAATTGTTTCTATTGTGTGCTTCTCAACCTCTCTGCACTGCACTCAGTTTTGAGGTTTTGGAACGTGGCCGCTCTTCATGCGTGCATAGTAAGGAAAATTATGAAAATACGCATGTGAGATGAACTATTTAACATTGTATCGATAGTTTTTGATTTAGTTTTAAAATACCAATAAAAAGACTCATGATTGTGAGTTGGAATAGTATCAAAAGTCTAAAATACTAAATTGTGCATCATCTCCTATGGGTGATAAATTTCCTGTAGGAATATAGATCTGATCTTTTTTTTTTTCTTTCTCTTTTTTTTGTAGGAATTATGGCTTCACTGATTAGTTTGCCTTCTTTGATTATCTGTAATGACTACTTCTGCTCTATGGCTTTCACTGTTTAGTTATTCTTTGAAACTGATAAAAATATGTTAATGGTTAATGCATAATACTTCTATAGAAGTTTTTTATGAGGGATGGGATGTGTTTGGGCCCCCCAAGGTTGGTTGCTTTACAAGATTGTATAAAATCCTGAAGGTATTTTACCTTCTTTGATTATGTATTATGAATATCATTGCCCATGAACTTAAGTCATAGTCATGATTGGGAGGCTTATGACTCATGTTGATCTCTTTGGTTAGAAACACGTGTACATCCATGTTTGTGTACATCGATCCAAGTTGGGGTCTTCGACACTTCATTGCCTTACTTTGTTTGAATGTATCTATTAATTGTTTCTATTGTGTGCTTCTCAACCTCTCTGCACTGCACTCAGTTTTGAGGTTTTGGAACCTGGCCGCTCTTCATGTGTGCATAGTAAGGAAAATTATGAAAATACACATGTGAGATGAACTATTTAACATTGTATCGATAGTTTTTTTATTTAATTTTAAGATACCAATAAAAAGACTCATGATTGTGAGTTGGAATAGTATCAAAAGTCTAAAATACTAAATTGTGCATCATCTCCTATGGGTATTTTGATAAATTTCCTGTAGGGATATAGATCTGATCTTTTTTTTTTATCTTTTTCTTTTTTTTTTGTAGAAATTATGGCTTCACTGATTAGTTTGCCTTCATTGATTATCTGTAATGACTACTTCTGCTCCTATGGCTTTCACTGTTAGTTATTCTTTGAAACTGATGAAAATATATTAATGGTTAAAGCATAATACTTCGATAGAAGTTTTTTATGAGGGATGGGATGTGTTTAGCCCCCCAAGGTTGGTTGCTTTACAAGATTTTACCTTCTTTGATTATGTATTATGAATATCATTGCCCATGAAGTTAAGTCATAGTGACTCATGTTGATCTCTTTGGTTAGAAACACGTGTACATCCATGTTTGTGTACATCGATCCACGTTGGGGTCTTCGACACAAAATGGTCGTTCTTCCCTTCCACTATCCTTTTCGATGCAAATTAATCCAATTGAAAATTTCAGGTGGTTGCGGTGGTCTACTCTTCCGTTCCACTATCCTTTTCGATGCAAATTAATCCAATTGAAAATTTCAGGTGGATGCGGTGGTCTACTTAGTGGATGCAGCTGACAAGGAGAGGTTTGCAGAGTCGAAGAAGGAGCTTGACGCACTCCTCTCCGATGACTCACTGGCCGCAGTTCCCTTCCTTGTATTGGGCAACAAGATTGATATTCCCTACGCCGCCTCTGAAGATGAGCTTCGCTACTATCTCGGCCTCACAAACTTCACCACTGGTAAGGGCAAAGTAGTCCTTTCTGACTCCAATGTCCGACCCCTTGAAGTCTTCATGTGCAGCATTGTCCGCAAGATGGGTTATGGAGATGGTTTCAAGTGGTTGTCTCAATACATCAAGTGAGTGAGAGAGAGATGAGAGAGTAGAGATAGAGAGAGAGCTGGGCATAGCTTCTGAACAAAAGTATCCTTCTGGCCGAGCCCTTTCGTAATCTGTTTTGATTGGTAGAAGAACTCGGTTTTTTTTACGCGTGACGCGTGTTTGTGCTCACCTCTGCCAGAACGGAGAGATAAAAATGATGATAGTTCTCTATTTAATTAATCCTTGGTGTAAAGTGAGTGTAATTTTAATCGGATTTGAACTCGTCTGTCTCTCGCTTCACTGAAAGGCCAGTCGGTTGCTTCCTGTAGCTGCCTTTTTTTTTTCTTTATTTAGTTCTCTCCTGGCTGTTGTGCTTTGGCTTCGGTTTTATTATACGGTATGTCTATGAGTTTCACAAATTTTGCTTGTATTTCACCAATGTATGGGGTATTTGGAGTGCTGGTAATAGTGAGAAAAGAAAGTAGTAGTAAAAGAAAGTAGTAGTAATGTACATGTGAATGCTGTCTTGCGTCTCGTTTGGTATCACCTCGCCTACTCTCTATTATTTTATCCACTGTTTATTCTGTATTTTTTATCCACTGTTTATTATGTTTTAGCTCTTTTTTTAGCGTTAAGAAAAAGAAAAAGAAAAGAAAAAACATTGGGTGAAAAGCTGAAGGGTAGTAAATCAATTTTAGCCAGCTCTGTTTTTTCAGTTCGTGTGTGGTTGCTTTTTCCATTATCGACTCAAATTGACCTTTCCTAAGAAAATGATGCGAATCGAAAGACCGTATGAAAAATCAGCCAGAGGAGCCTTCCAAAGCTCTCTTTCACTCGAAATCTCGTATATTCATGGGAAGTTTCAAATTTTCAATGTCCAGTTCATCCGTCAAAGCTCGCTTTCTGTCGCTAAATCTTATACAACCATAGGATGCAAATCAGCTTGGGCCTGTTTGGCCTTTATTTCCGGTACACCATGGGGGATTTTCTGACTGCCAGCACCTTGGTATGAGACGGTAGTCTTCTATGGTGTGCCGCTCTGGTGCTGAAACGGCATATGTGGCTCCAATTGTCAGATCTGGCTGGTCCATCCATCTTTTGAGCAATCCTTTTCTTGGTATGGATGTTAACTGATTCCTTATCATTTTAAGAGGCCAATTGTCTCCTTTTCTTTGTATGGATGTTAACTGATTCTTTGAGAAGGCCAATTGTCTTTCCTTATCTTAAATTTTGGTGATTATTTTTAACAGGACACGGTTTCTATGAGTCACCTCTTAAAAATCTATTTTTGAGATGGATTTTTGGACTTAATTTTTAAAGACGTGAAAAAATAAATATTCTTTTTTTTGAAAATTTTAATAATAATTCTGTTAAGAAAACAATTGGATTGTTAGTTTCAATTGTTTTTAGATGGACTACTTATTTGTATCCATCTTTAAGATGGAAGCTTTATAACTGTTGTTTTTAGGTGGACCACCTATTTGCATCCATCTTTAAGGTGGAGGCTTTATACCTTAGGACCGACCACATATTGTAGAAATGTGGTCCATACCGCATGCAATAATTTTCTTTTTTAAAATAGAATTGGATTATGAGTTCTTCGCTAAGTTCTCACCAAAAAAACATTTATGTAAGGTTTATATCTTAACATGTAAAATTAAGATGTTCCTTTAAAATCCTTAAAAAAAGGTTGCTTTTTAATGAAAAAATATCTAGTTGATCATCTCGATATCGAGATGTATAGATATGAGAATTAAAGAGATTTCAAGTCTTAAAAATAGTGTCTTGCTATCAAGAGATTCCAAGTCTTCAAAATAATACATCTTGCAATGCATTATTTGGACGGTCAATTTTCAATATTTTCATATATATATATATATATATATATATATATATATGCTTGATTTGAACTATTTTTTTAGTTTAAAATTTTATAATTAGAGATAAAAATAGATTCTCACACCATCTTGAGAATTTTCAACACCAAAATTACATTTCATGACAAAGTTTGTAAAAACACTTTACTTTGATTGTTTGAGGGTGCTGCCTTATGCAAACCACATCGCTCACCAAAATTCGTTAGTTTGTTTAATTTAACAGGTTTTTTTTTTTTTGACAAAGGTTCCAAGTTTTATTAATAAGAATTACTCAAAGAAAATTACATTAGTGGACACTAACAGAGAGCCCTTCCGTTAGCAAAGGAGTCAACAACATTGTTGGCTTCACAATAAACATGAGAGAAGGAAAAAAAAAAAAGGAGCTGCAACATCCATGATTTCCAGCTATAGAGACCGAAGTAACCACATGGTGTGCGACTCCTTTTATACCAACTAATAATATTTAAATAGTATCCTTCACAAATACAGCAATGAGCCAAATTTTTTAAGATAAATGAGTTTAAGTCATTGCAATAAAGAATGATTCGCCGTAGCTGAACCAAGAGCACCCGCATAGGAAAAAACAGTCTCACCCAAACCATTACGTAAGACACCCCCTATGCCAGCCAAACCAGGGTTGCCAAGAGAGCTTCCATCAAAATTAAGTCTGAAGCAGTCAATCTCTGTAGAGTTTAGAAGCAGCAAGGCTGTATCTTCACTTTTCCGATGAGAAACATATTTTTATCGGATCGGATTGGGCACGAGCCTTAGCTCTGTCCGGGATGGATCCATTAGGAGGGACAATTTGACATATTTCTGCCAAATTCTTCCATTATTAAGTATGGCTGGTACCATTTCGATGTGTTTCGATTCTTCCGAGCAAGAGAGGTTTGATGCTTTTGAAAATTAACCATGACATCCGCTTGAGAAAGGCCCCAGTTATCCTTAGTTACCGAGTACCAATGCCAAATGGAGATCTTAATGTTGTCTAGCAACCGGTCAAACGAAAGGCTAATACTGTCAAATGTACTTCTATTCCTTTTCTTCCAAATTTCCCAAAGCACCGCACCGCACCAGACCATATAACCTTCAGAAGGCAAGTGGTGAAAAGAAAACTGTGAAATATTGTCCATTATCGACCTCAGAAGAGAGGCATAGACCCCTAGTTCAATAAAGAACCAATACCAGTTTCTAGATGCAACATTGTAACGAAGGAAGAAAGAGATAATTCCAAGTCTCCTAGTCAAGTTTACACATCAGGCAAATGTTAGGAAGCACTTTACGCCTTTTGATTAGGTTATCGATTTGTCAATATTTTATTCTAAATAGGCAACCATAAGAAAGCCTGTATCTTGTGAGGGCTAGGCCACTTCTAGATTTTAGTTAAAGGGGTAGAGACCATCTCCATTTATCATGAAAAAGAAACCTATAACAAGATTTGCTTTCTCAGGCATTCACGGAGCGCGAGTTATTTTGTCTTTTTTGGCCATTCAGTTAAAGATGTGACATGAAAAAAATTTGAGGTCGTAAAAATGTGTTTTAACGGGGAGAGAAAATGGATAGTATGCTCCAACAATAAGGTAGATTTCTCAACTTAAATTAAACCCCAAAATTGTATAATATTGTCATTTACTCTCTCGTATCTAGGATGGATTTTAGGACCCCTTGATGCAGCCTGTTTAAGCCATCAAATAATGTTAGATAAAAGAATTTCCTAGTTGCATTTTCATTTGGAAAGAGAAGGGATTAGTTGCATTTTCATTTGGACGAGAGAAGGGATTTTGGGTTTCTTCAAAGGTTGCATGCTCAGATTCTAAAGACTGTTTTGAGCTCTGCATTGTTGTTAATGATAAAGGAGAAGACCTCAAAAACCACTTGGGTGTTGATGCTGGCTCATCGAAGATAAGTCTTTGCCTCTAAGAACAGAATCAAGCACGCTTTGGTGTTAACTTTTATCTCTCTCTTATAATTCTCTGATGTGAATAATATGGCTGTACGTTTTACGACGACAACCTGGGAGGAAATCTCTCTTGCATAGGTGGTTGGTTAAGCATCCTCTTAATCATATTGCCTTTGAGGCATTTTCCTTTGAGGCATTTTCCTTAGTTGTGCACTGTAATACAGTTTTGGATTCTTTATTTTCTCTCTCCTCTCTTTCTCCCTCTCTAGCAATGGATCTTTGTCAATTAACATAGGCAGTTTATTTCGGTGAGATGCTTAGATCTAGGTTTTAGAAAGATTTTTTTCCTTTTCAAATTTTTTTGGATGGCTTTATTATCATTAGATGAACAATGTTAAAAAAGGAAAAAATGATTTTGAGTTTATAAAGGCTAAGATCTTGAAATTCACAAAATGAATGGTCTAGATTTGTTTTTGAAAGGAACTCATTTTGACCATATCTAGAGTTCAAATTGAACTTTTGTTTTTTGGAGGGATTGATTATTGAGATGAAGAGAGTGTGTGTGCAAAATTTGAGATCATACAAATACCACAAACATGGTTTTCTAGAAGTGTCGTTGCATTATACTATGATACAACCGTTGCATTGGATCATTGTTCATCTAATTAATAACATATTTTTATTTTCATTTCATTTATAATTCATTCGAATTCCTATTCAGCTGTTTAGTTTTTGGATATTCCCCAACTTGTAATCTTTTGTTGAGTTTTAAGTTTTTATTTAGGTTAAATTATTTTTGGAATTCTGATTTCCAGATTTTCTTTTTTGATTGACAGGATTAAATTATCGAAACCTCTTTTAAAATTTTATCATGTTGTATATTTTCTTCACCCTTATTTCTTCTTCTATTTTATTAAATGCAAAAGTGCTTCATTGCCTCACATGCCAGCTTCTCCTCAAAGGTTGGTAGAAAACAAAAAAGAGAATTGAAGGAGAAATTGATGTAATTTTTTTCAACAACCTTATCACTAGATCCATGTAACAAATGAAACATAATTTTTTAGTAAAGAGAATTTAGGGATGAGAGTTCAGGGAAAAAGAACAAGGGACAATATAGAGGGGACAAATTTAAAAGGCACATTCTTATTTATTATTTTATAAAGAACTTTCTAATGACACGGACATTAATAACCTTTGATTTTTATTTATTATTATATTTATTTATTGGTTTGACGCACCTCCAAAGTGTGGCAAGTTGGGGTATAATGATAATCTAACATTCCGAGTTTATTCTATAGCTTTTTACAAAGGGAAAGTATATAACAAGATCATTTACCTTTGGTACAAGGTGGTTACAATTAATCTTGATCATCGGATATAAATTGTGTGGTTGCATTGATTTCATTAACCAAGCTCAAAGTTCAAAATAATTTTTTTTTAACTTCGTGACACACCCAAGTTATCAGATTTCACATTAGATGGTTGTAAATAATTGTGACATCCTTACCAAAAGTAAATTGTCTCATTATATACAATCCCACAAAACAAATTACACCTTTTTACTAGTAGGGCTGCAAGTTTATACAAATTGTATTCTATACAAGAATTGTCAAATCTAAGGTGTGCAATTAAAATAGATGGTATGAACACTG